GCGCCGGCTACATGTTCATTGAACATGAGGCTCACGCTCGAGCGGTTTGGGGGGCGCCCAAACCGGTCCCCCAACAACAACAACGCTCCCGCTCGAGACTTCCTACTTTTTTGCTCAGGGCCGGTGCCCTTGCTCGCCGCCGACAGCCCCCGTCCCAACAAAACCAACGCTACCGCTCAAGACTTGCTCCCGTTTTACGCTGGACTGGCGCGCTACTCGTTCTCTTATCGGCGCCGCCCCCAGCAACAACAACGCTCCCGCTCCAGACTTCCTCACCTTTTGCTCAAGGCGGTGCCCCTCCTCGCCGCCGAAAACCGCCGTCCCAACAAAACCAGCGCTCCCGCCCGAGACTTCCTTTTGTTCGACGCTGGACTGGCGCCCTACTCTCTGTTGAATTGGCGTCGCTCCCAGCAAGAACAACGCTCCCGCTCGAGGCTTCCTCCCTTTTTCCTCAGGACGGTGCTGATCCTCGCCGCCGACAGCCCCCGTCCCGACAAAAACGGCTCCCGCTCGGGACTTCCTCCCTTCTTACTCAAGGCCGTGTTCCTCCTCGCCGCCGACAACCGCCGTCCCAACAAAACCAACGTTCCCGCTCGAGACTTGCTCCCGTTTTACGCTGGACTGAAGCGCTACTCTTTCTCTCATCGGCGCCGCCCTAAGCAACAGCAACGCTCCCGCTCGAGACTTCCTCACTTTTTTGCTCAAGGCGGTGCCCCTCCACCTGCCGAAGACCCCCGTCCCGACAAAACCAGCGCTCCCGCCCGAGAGTTCCTCCCGTTGTACGCTGGACTGGCGCCCTACTCTCTGTTGAATTGGCGCCGCTCCCAGCAAGAACAGCGCTCCCGCTGGAGGCTTCCTCATTTTTTTCCTCAGGACGGTGCTGTTCCTCGCCGCCGACAGCCCCCGTCCCGACAAAAACGGCTCCCGCTCGGGACTTCCTCCCTTCTTACTCAAGGCCGTGTTCCTCCTCGCCGCCGACAACCGCCGTCCCAACAAAACCAACGTTCCCGCTCGAGACTTGCTCCCGTTTTACGCTGGACTGACGCGCTACTCTTTCTCTCTTATCGGCGCCGCCCTAAGCAACAGCAACGCTCCCGCTCGAGACTTCCTCACTTTTTTGCTCAAGGCGGTGCCCCTCCACCTGCCGAAGACCCCCGTCCCGACAAAACCAGCGCTCCCGCCCGAGACTTCCTTTTGTTTTACGCTGGACTGGCGCCCTACATTCTTTTGAATTGGCGCCGCTCCCAAGAAAACCAACGCTCCCGCTCGAGGCCTCCTCCCTTTTTCCTCAGGACGGTGCTGTTCTTCGCCGCCGACAGCCCCCGTCCCGACAAAACCACGGCTCCCGCTCGGGACTTCCTCTCTTCTTACTCAAGGTGGTGTTCCTCCTCGCCGCCGACAACCGCCGTCCCAACAAAACCAGCGTTCCCGCTCGAGACTTGCTCTCGTATTACGCTGGACTTGCGCCATACTCTCTTCAGCATTGGCACCACTCCCAGCAACAACGGCAGCCCTGCTTGAGACTTCCTCCATTTTTGTTCAAAGGCCAGGTCCTTGCCTCGCCGCCGACAGCCCCCATTCCCACCAAGGCAACCCTGTCGCTCGATACTTCCTTGTGCTTTACCCTTGGCTGGGGCTCCACTGGTAGTCTCGCATCGGCGCAGCAAGGCGCGGGCATGCGTGTTCGAGGCGGGATATGTTGAAATTCCTCGGAGGAGGTGTTTGCAAGACCTCATTGGGCGGGAGATTTGGGAGTGGGGATAACGGACCCCGCTATAGAACAATAATCCCCCATGATGGGGCTGCTAATCATGATGGTCGCATGCTTCGTGTGGAACCATCACGCATGAGGGTAAAATGATTGTTAATGTTGCTGTTGCTGTTGTTACTGCTATTGCTGTCGTTGATGTTGTTGCTATTGTTGTTTGTTTGTTGCTTGGCGACGTCCCACCTGGGACCCGCCCCGCGATCCACCCGCGATCCACCCCGCGACCCACCCGCGACCCACCCGCGACCCGCCCCGCGACATACCCCGCGAACCGCCCGCGAACCGCCCGCGACCCACCCCGCGACCCACCCCGCGACCCACCCCGCGACCCACCCCGCGACCCACCGGCGACCCACCCCGCGCCCACTCACGACCCACCCTGCGACCCAACCTGCGACCCAACCCGCGACTCGCCCCGCGATCCACCCGCTACTCACCCGCGCCCCGCGACCCACCCCGCGACCCACCCGCGACCCGCGACCCACCCCGCGACCCACCCGCGACCCACCCGCGATCCGCCCCGCGACCCACCCCGCGACCAGCGACCCACTGGCGACCCACCCCGCGACACGCGACCCACCCCGCGACACACCACGCTACCCACCCCGCGACCCGCCCCGCGAGAACACCCGCGAGCCACCCGCGAACCACCCACGACCTGCGACCCACTGGCGACCCCCACCTGCGACCCGCCCGCGCCCCGCGACCCACCCCGCGACCCACCCCACCACCCACACCACAGTCATCGCACACCATGCCACAATCGGCGCCTTCGGTGGTCTGTTTTGCGTTCGCTCGGGAGGCAAGGGGGGGCGGGGGGCAAGCCATGGGGGGACAGGAGTACGCGGAGGTCGAAGAGGGAGGCAGAGGAGGATCTTCACGAGCGGAGTAAGAAGAAAGAACCGAAGGAGCGCCAACGACAAGGAAGGGGGGCGCCACGAGGTCCGCCGGCTCGACGCCCGCATCGCCCGCGCCCGCCCCCTCACACTTATCCGCAACTGCGGGGTGCTATTTTAATTTGTATGTATTTACAGACTTATGTACACACATACATCTATTACATGTGTACATATATAGTGGGTATGTTGCCGTGCCATGTACTGTGAACGCGCCCAGGTAGACGAAGCGGGCAGCGCGGCAAACCCCACGGCAAACTCTGCGTCCGAGGCGAAGTTTGCCCTGGTGACCGAGGCGCTCTCCCTGAGATGTAAATCCACGCATCAGATTAAACACCGCGACGACATACAGCCGGGCTGCTGAACTGAGGAACGATCCATCAGGAACGAACGCTCTTTTCTGGCCCTCCCTAAACAGCTGCGCGCACGAGGGGGACCAGAGGAATGGCCATGGAAGGACCTTGGGAACATCGGGCCTCTTCTGAACTCATGTTGTTCCTTCTTTCAGCTTCTTGGCCGGATGCATACACATGCAACCAGAACCATTGCGCGCGCTTCGCGCACGTTCAGACTCTAGCCAGGGCAACGCCCTCATGCATCGACCCATGGCCCCCCCCTGCGCCGCAAGGCCACGAGTGGAGCGTCTCCAGGCCCTCCAGTCCTCAACACAGAACATTGGATCCTCCTCCTCTTTTGCCGCCCCCGAGGCTGAAGCCCTGGATTTTCTTGCAGGGCGGGCACCCGCGCGGGTGAGCCCAGCTATGGCGGTGCCCAGCCCTCCTGGGGCCTCTCAGGGCCGCCCGGGAACCCTCTCGAGGCACACCGACGCGCACGCGAGCCGTCGCATCGGGGGCGGCCAAGAGGCGTCCAAGAGGGGGGGGCGCAAATCATGGCCGGCGGCATGTGCGCGGCCCAGGGGGAGGGCCGGGAACGCAATGAAATAAGAAGAGGCGCCAGGAAGTCTGGGGAGATATCATGGCCCCCGTCATGATATCCGCCCGCCCTGGCCATCACCCCCCTCTTTGCCGCCCCCGATCGCAGGTGTCCCAGTGCCTGCTCGGGCCAGCGCGGGAGGCTCCGGGGAGGCCGCGGCCCCAGGCTGTCAGTTGGTCGCCCTGGGGGAGGGGGGCCCCTCGGGGCCGTGGCTTCACTGGCGTGCGTGACGAAAGACGGAGAGGAGAGAGAAAGAGAGAGAGAGAGAGAGAGAGGGGAGAGAGAGAGGGAGAGAGAGGGGGCGCTGGAAGTGCCGAGCTGGACGACAGTGCAAGTGCCCTTCGGCGGGCCGAGAGAGGCACCGAGGCAGCAGCAGTCCTCCTGCAGTGGCGTGCTCGAGGGTCCCTTCTTTCTCTTGTTGGTCGTCGAGAGGAGGAGGGAGGGCATCTGCCTAGGCCTCCTGTACGCCACCTACGGAGCTGATAGATGGCCCACGTCCGGAGTGCTATGTCCAGCTCCTGCTCGTCGTCCTCCTCCGGCTCCTCCTTCTCCTCCTCCTCCACCACCTCCTTGTTCTTTTCCTCCTTCTGCACTTCCTCTTGCTCCTCTTGCTCCTCTTACTCCTCTCGTGGTTCTGCTCCTTCTCCTCCGTCCTCCTCTTTCTAATCCTCCTCATCATCGCTTCCTCCCCCTTTGTAGAACTCAGCCGGATACCCCAACTCTGCGGAATCTTTCAGAATATCGTAAGAATTATTCATATCTCCTAAAGGAGTCATAAGTCTCCTCGCCAGCCTCGTCGTAGCCCCTTGAAGCCTGCTGACAGCGCGTGGACCGAAGAGTGCAGAATGCAGGGCAAGGGGGGCGGGAAGTCTCAGAAATCCAGGCAGTCACCGAAGAGTACCGCACACAGAGCCATCGAGCCAGGAAGTTATAGTACGAGTCTAAGCAGCCACCGACAATTGTGGTGCACGGACTCAGTTCCACGAGCACGAAAAGAGCCTCTGAGTGCAAAGAACTGTCTGGGGATACACGAAAACCGAATGATTGCAACGTTGACCCCAACCAGCGAGTCAGCGCAATCTATGTGGCCCAATGCAAAATAATGCAACTCAGTAAATCAAACACGGCAACGCAGCGAACGTTACACTCGACGTCAATCAAACCACTGCAACGCAACGTGAATACACACACAACCACCACACACAGTACAAGGCAACGCAACTCATCACAGCGCGATGCAAAGCAAGGCGACAAGCAAGGCCCCTGGGGGCCGCCTTGGCCCAAGGTGGCCCGATGTGGCCCTGAGGTCCCTGGGGCCATCTCGGACGATCTTGGAGCTGCCCCGGGACCTTTATGTTGGGGGGGGGGAGAGGGTAACACTTCGACCGGCGGGCGCACCGCGCCTGCAGTAGCTTCTCCTGGCGCTGCTTCTCCTGTGCCTGCGCTGCTGCATGGTGGGCGCACGCGCGCGTGGGCGACGACGTGCTGGTTTTTTCAACGCAAAACAGCTGGCGGTCGTCGTCAAGCGTTTTTTTTCTGGTTCTTTTTATACGTAAAACGTATCCCCATCCCCTCCAGGGGGCTTTGGGATGAAGCGGACAGAGCAGAGCAAGGAATGAGCAGGGCTCCAGGTCCGCACAAACGGAACCAACACGGAGGAACCCAGCACGCTGCGTCGCAGCGTGAGACGGAGGATGGCATGGTGGCCGCCGGGCTGCCGAGTCCCCTCGAGCCCATGCGCGGCCATGCATGAGCAAGCCGTGGGCGACGACGTGAGGGAGAGAGGCCTCGTGCGAGACGGCCTGGCGGCCACGGCCGGCGCTCACGCGCAGGCCTTTGCGCGGGAAACGTGCGCGCCAATGTCCGCGCAAGCGGCCCTATGCTTTTTGGCACGCGTGGGGCTGGTGAGTGAGCGCCTGAGATTACTTACACAAGGACCCACAACTGCAAGTTCATGGACCACGGGAAAAAGAACAATCGCGATAATGAGAAAGTGCCGCATCGCCGCTCTTGGGCTGGGGGATGAGGAAGGGGAAAGGGAAGGAAGGCACGGGAGACAGAAAATGATGAGGCAAGATCATTCTGCGTCGAACTGGGAAATCGGATCGAATCGACACGTGCGTCGGATCAGGCTGCATCGGCACTAAATCGAAATCGAATAGGATCGGCCGCGCCAAGATGCACAACAACGCCATGAAAACATCGGGCCATATCGGATCGCCGGAGCATCGTAACCGAATCGGATCGAGCCAGTCGGAATCGACATCGGATCGAATCGATCGGATCGACGTGGGCCCTGGGCGCTGGGGTCCACTGGCGCTTCACTCGGGGTGTTCCACTCACTCCTCCTGCATCCTTACTCTTCCTCCTCCTCCTCCTCCTCCTCCTCCACTCCTTCTCCTTATAAATAACTTCTCCCTGTCGCCCCCCGAGGCCAGTTTTTAGGGCGGGCCAGGCGTTTCGCCTGAGACTTCATCACCATTTAACCCTGAAGCTTGAACATTGACAACAGTTTCGCAAATGGAGGGCGGGTGGTTTTCAAAATGTGGCTCTCGCTTTAGCGCCGCCGCGCACGTTCGTTTTAAACATTTGCAAGAGTTTCACGGATTGAGGGCGACCCGTTTTCAAAATGTGGCTCTAGACTTAGTGCCGCGCGCACTTGTTTACAACACATGCAAGAATTTCCCGGATTGAAGGCCATCCGTTTTCAACATGATCGACCCACGAGCCCGGAAAGGAATATAGACCTGTAACACATGGCAGCGTTTTCAAAGACACCTGATTGGGTGACGGGCAAACGCAATGCTGAGTGTATCGATCTTGATGTACCCTGCCGAGGGCTGTGCTGTGCTGCACCGTGCTGAATTGCGATGTGCCATGCCGCGAATGTGCTCTATAGCGTCACGGAGCGACTCCTCCTTTGCATCCGAGTCCTGACCGAACTGATCTGGATCTTAAGCTCGAGCTGCCTGAACACAGAGTAGCTGCCCCAGAGCTGATGGACAAGGGACCATGTCAGGAGGACACGCCGCGAAACGTCCCAAGGGATGCGCCAGGCGACGTGCCAGGGGACATGCCATGGGGTCGCACCGCGGGACGTGCCAAGGGGACGCGCTGCGGAACGTGCCAATGGATGTGCCACGGGATGTGCCAGGGGACGCGCCACGCGACGTGCCAGGGAGACTCGCCAAGGGACGCGCCACGGAACGTGCCAAGGAACGTGCCAAATTGCAATGCTGAGTGTATCGATCTTGATGTACCGTGCCGAAATATGTGCTGTGCTGCGCCGTGCTGAATTGCGATGCGCCATGCCGCGATTGTGCTCTATAGCCTCGTGGATCGAGTCCTCCTTTGCATCCGAGTCCTGACCGAACTGATCTAGATCTTAAGCTCGAGCTGCCTGAACACAGAGTAGCTGCCCCAGAGCTAATTGACAGGGGGACATGCCAGGAGGATGCGCCGCGGAACGTCTCAAGGGACGCGCCAAGCGACGTGCCAAGGGACGTGCCATGGGGACGCACTGCGGGACGTGCCAAGGGGACGCGCTACGGAACGTGCTGTGGAAAAACGTTTCGCTCGAGACATCCTGTCAAAATCCAAGGACATCCTGGCAAAACAAATGAATTAGTCGAGACATCCTCGAAATTCCTGCGCGCGGGACGCGGCACGCGCGAGACATCCTCGGAATTCCTGCGAGCGGGACGTGACAACAAGCATTTTGCCTGAGACATCCTCTGAATTCTGGCCCCCCCACGAGGCTCCCGCTCGAGACATCTCCCATTTCTGCAAAAGCAGTGTTTCGCTCGAGGCATCCTCAACAAATTATGAACATTTTGCAAAACCAGCGTTTCGCTTGAAAAATCCTCAACCAATTATGAAACACAAGCATTTCGCTCGAGACATCCTGCCAACATTCAAGGGAGTTATAGAAACACAAACGAAGTAGTCGAGACATCCTCGAAATTCCTGCGCGCGGGGCGCTTTTCCGCGTCGCGGTCGGCTCTGCAAAACCAGCGTCTCGCTCGAGAAATCTTCAACAACTTCTGAAAACAATCTTTCGCTCGAGACATCCCCAACTCGGCAAAACCAGCGTTTCGCTCGAGACATCCTCAACAAATTCTGAAAAACAAGCGTTTCGCTCGAGCCCACCTCGACCTCGATATTTAGCAGGGAATAATTCAGCCGACCCACCTCAAGTCAGGTCCAGGGGTAAACAACTAAAAGAGAACCCTGGGCCTAAGCCCTTTCCGGGAAACATGACTCTTTCCTTAGCGCCGCGCGCATTCGTTTGAACAAGCAGAAAAACTGTAACGGATTGAGGGCGGCTCATTTTCAAAATGTGGCTCTCGCCTTAGCGCCGCGTGCATTCGCTTTAAAGCTTTGCAAGAGTTTCACGGGTTCCCACGATCAGCGTACCAATGTTTTGGAAAGGTTCAGGATGATGAAAATGCAGCACTTACGTTGGTTCGCAATGTTGAAATCCCAGGAATGGCGTTATGTCACGATTCAGGATCGTCAAGACGCAAAAGTCACATTGATCCGTGGCGTTGAAATCCCGAGAACAATGTTAAGGCATGCTTCCGTGTGTTCAAACGGTTGTCTTCCATCGAGGCAAAATGACCCTTGTGGGGGCCTATGAAGAGGGAGCTTGGCGGGAGGGTTGATTCCAACATCGTTGATGACTCTTGGGCTTACGCTGGTCCTCCTCCTCCTCCTCCTTCCCCGTCCTCCACAACCATCCTCCTCCTCCTCCTTCTTCTCCTCCTCCTCCTCATCCTCATCCCCTCTCCTCCCCTCCCCCTTTTCCCCAATCCTTCTATTTCCCCCCTCCTACTCCTTCTCCTCCTTCTCCTCCTACCCCTCCTCCTCCCTTCATCCTTATGTCGGGCATGTCCTCCTACAGGCCTTTTTTGGAAGCAGCGTACAACTATAACACATGTTTTGTACGATGATGGAAGCGCTTTAGGAACGCATTATAACATGCTTAGGACATAGTTGGGGCAAACATGCCTGCTGGTGGGCTGCGTCGTTTTCGTGATCGTGCGAGCGGACGCGCGCGCAAGCGCATTGCATGGCGCACCAGCAAGCGACCCATACACGTCGCGTGCTACATGGGAGATCCAATCGGCAACCGCTACTGGGCCAATTGAACTTGCGGCGGCGATCCTGTTGAGGACATTTTAGAATACACTAAGCGAACGCGCGTAGGTATATTGTATGCCGTACTAGCAGGCGGACACGTGCAGGCCGCATGCCAATTCGGTGGCGGCGATCCGATTGCGGACAATGCCGCGGCCGCCAAGCGAGCGCGTGCGCGTGGGCGCATTCTGCGGCGCGCGCGCTGGTGGACGCGTGCGTAGCCGCATGTCAACAAGGAAATCCATTCGGCAGCGGCTAAGAGGCAGTTTTGGATTCCAGACCAACGTGGCAGCGATCCTACTGCGGACAGCGCAGAAACCGCCGAGCGAGCGAGCTCGCGCGTAGGTGCATTGCATGGTGCGCAATCAAGCGGACACGTGCAGGCCGCATGTTGAGTGGTCTCGCCAATCTGCAACAGCTAAGGGGGGACATGAGCTTCCAGGCCAACATGGCGCCTTTCCTACTGCTGGCGATGCAGGAACCAATGGGCGAGCGCGCGCGCGTATGCGAATAGTACGGCGCGCCAGCAAGCGGACGTGTAGAAGCTACGCGTGACATGGGACATTCAATCGGCAGCGCGACAAGGGGGCCACTTGAGTTTCCAGACCAACATGGCGGCGATCCGATTGGTGACAATACAGAAACCATCGGGCGAGCGCGCGCCTAGGCGCGTTGTGTGTCGCGCCAGCGTGCGGACGCGCGCGGGCCACGTGTTGCATGGGGAGTCCAATCGGCAACCACTGAGAGGCCACTTTAGCTTACAGGCCGACATGGCGGCGATCCTAGCGCGGGCGCTGCAGCGACCGCCAAGCGAGCGCGCGCGCGAAAGCGCGTTGTTCTGCGCGCCAACATGCAGACGCGTGCAGGCCGCGTGTCAAGCGGGATTTCCAATCGGCAACACCTAGGTGGCAACTTGAGTTTCTAGGCCAACATGGCGGCGATCCTCTTGCTGGCCGCAGAGCGCCAGGCGAGCGCGCGCGCAGCGTGGGTGCACTGTGCGGCGCGCCAGCAGGCTGGCGCGCGCAGGCCGCGTGCCATGTGGGAGATCTGATCGGCAGCGAGCGGACGCGTGCAGGGCGCGTGCCCCGCCGGAGATGCCATCTGCAAGTGCTCGGCGTGCGCTTGCGTTTCCGGGCCACAGTTGCGGCGATCCGATTGCGGGCGATGCAGACACCGCCGAGCGAGCGCGCGCGTAGACGCAACGTGCGGCGCGCCGGCAGGCGGGCAGCGTGCTAGCCGCGCGCCGCGCGGGAGATCCGATCGGCAACCGCTACGGGGCAAGTGTGACTTCCAGGCGCAC